GTAGAAGGCCTATCACGGCGGTGGGAACCATCCTATCCTTTCCATCGGCCATCGAATCCAGAGTCGTGATGCTGGGACCAAAGCGTAGTAGATCCCAGTGATTAAATGGTCAGGCCAGCCTTTGACCATCCAGACGCCATCAACCTGCTTGATTAACTCCGCAAAATGTGCAAAGAAAACCAACGTCATCCCTCGCCTGGAGTCTCCCGACGAAGTTCTCCGAGACGTGGTAAAGCCAGGCAAAAACCTCCTGTGAGTTTGCTCCTCCGATCGTATCGCCGTCCCCAAACACGGCTGTGAAGCCAGCGCTTAGGCGGTGCAGAGCGACTTGATACACTGCCCTCTCTTCGTCGCCGGAAACCTCATCAATCATGATCTGACGGAGATTTCTCAATGCCGCCCCCCAGGCTGTCATAGGCTCTTCAGGCGGAGGCTGGGTGTTGAGGTCTAGCTTGGCTATTTTGTACATGAAAGCCAGCGGCCTGGCAGGCTCCGTCATGCCAAACAGCACAGATGCCTCGGCGACCGTTTGTAACCCACGAAAGAAGATGGGCCATTCCATCTCAGCGTCGTCGGTGAATAGTAGAAAGTTACCCGGCTGGGGGCCTAACGCGAATGTCTGGAGACATGAGAGCATGGTAAAGATGAACAGCAGATCGCAGGATTCTGCGTCTATAGCAGCAAGCCTTGGGGTTGCAAGTCGGACGGCAGCTTGCCAATGAACTGTGGCTTTTGTCTTGTACCACCCCATGCACTCGTCGCCGTTTGGCCTGAGGTGATTCATGTGCAAGCCACCGATCGCAAGGATCGCTCGCAGTAGGAAGGGTTGGGAGAAAGACATCTGGGCCACCGTGATACTCCAAAACTGCTGGACGAATGGAGTCGGGCCGAAGGTCGTAGACGTGATAGAGCAGAAGTGGTGGAACAGCTGAAGGTCCTGAACGTCGAGAGCGAAAGCAAGTTCATTGCGGTCCTGCATAGTTTGACTGGCGGGAAGAGGCTGAGCCAGAATAACTTGAGCTGTGTTCTCTGATATTGACGTCCGCGAAGGACTAGTGTTCAGGCTGCACCATAGTGACCTCTTGACGCAGTTGGTGCAGCTCGGTTTTCTTTCATCGCACTACGATTCAGTCAGCTATCATCAGATCTCATCATGAAGAGGTATTCCATGCAAATATGCCGGCTTACCTTGATTCTACGTCGCTTACAAAAGCTGCAGCCGCCTCGCAATTTCTGATGAGACCTTCGGATGCCTTTGCTCCCCATGACCGCGGCATCGTCGTTATTTTGCGCACGGGTCACGTTGGAAATCTAGCTATACGTCGCTTGGGTCGTCCCTGAAGGTTTCGAGCGCGCAACGGTCGGACGAAGATTCAGGTATTGGTGCGGGTCCATGAATCTTCATGGTGCATTTGTTGATGAAGTCCTTCAGGGGTACGTCGAGTTCTCGTAGGCTCTCAACGCAAATTTCACACTGACAAATTTGCCTTGCCAAGGCACTAATTGCTGGCAAGTCGGGCAAAGAATCTGCGTTAGTGGGAATTGAACAAGGATTTGATAGTGGCTGAGCAGCCCCCTTAGAATTACATTCAACCTCGCCAAGTAAGAAAGGACCTGTTTACGAGTATTAAATCTTGTTGCCCCTTTTCTTCTTGTTTTTGGGAGGGGGGGGGGGGGGACAGATTCCATAAAAAAGTTAAAGACTATAGGTATCAACATCGTGCCATGATATTCCGCCGCGAGTAATCCCTTGGTATTCACAGCTGTCTCCACATCAGGCTCGATGACTGTTTGTGAAACTCGTTCAGCTGGCAGTAACTGTCAACGGCTAGCCGAATTGGATGGTTTTCTTCATCTTGTAAGGATGACACCAATTGAACCATAGCAACACCAGCAAAATTGGGATAGCATCGAAGAGATACAGCAAGTGTTCATGCTCCAACAAAAAAGAGTCCTTGCCGCCGGAGTGCTCAATCATCCGGAATATGTTGCGAACAGTGATCAGGGTCATGACACTATAGAGCTTCGCCAGCCACCCTATCTCCTGCCAGACACCCGCAGCTAGAAGAGCCCTACAGATGCGGCGGTGGAACACTCCCGCGACAATGGTAAAGAGCACGCCAGAGGCAACTTGCACTACCAGCCCGGCAAGGACAACGTGCTGGCCCGCTTTCTTGGACGGCTCCGTTGCGGTTGGATTTGACATCATGCTTCCTCCTTCACGACTTAAAATTAGTACATTCATCATGTATTGAATTCGCGCCAGGAATTCCACTGACCGTAAGATTGTACCAGAATGGACGCCACATCGCCAGCCACGAAGATCCGGGTTATCCAGCGCGGGGACATGGTGGAGTACGAGTCGCCGTCGGAAAGTTGAATGACTTTCTCAAGCAGCATGAAAACCGAAGCGGCAATGACGGCTGGCGCAACGAGAACAAGGGCCGAGTGAATGATAAACGGTGGCAGACTCTAACAGCCGAAATCCTCGCTCGCGGAGAGACATCGTATGATGTGGCCTACTGTCTCGACTACAAAGCTCCAGTCAGTATGATCCAATTCATGCTTACACATATAAACGAGCAACTTACAAAGAGCCCCGACGACCAGTGGCATCATATACCACGTTCTGAAGTACATAGCTTGACTAAGGTGAAGAAGGGCAGACAAACTAAATGCGGAAGTGAAGAAAGCAGCTGCAGCCACTGACGGCGCGTACGAAAAAAGAGAGTGGTATTGATAGTCTGACATGGTAATTGTTAACCTGGACCGTATCTTTCTGCAGTAGGTGAGATAAAATATATTTGAATGAGATGGTGAACCAAGTCTTCTAGAGTATTTATCATCATGCCTAGAGCCTTTTGCCGCGTCCAATACGCCATTTCTACTCGAATACGCCCTCTGGTGTCTCAGTACTTGTTTCTGCCTCTCGCCAAGAAACGAATTTCTATTTGAAGGCTCCGCCAAGTCGGCCCCGCTGGCAGAGTAATCGACCTTCTGTAAGTTTTGCGTTCTTGTAATAGGCATTAGTTCAGAGAAAACCCTTGAATACCATGGAATGACAAGATCAATCACTCTGACATTAGAAGCTGAAAGCACTAACCAACGGTTGTTTTAGATGGCACCGGTTTACTGCCTAGAATAGGGTTATGTCCGTTCTCCGCCCTTGAAATTGGGCTGAGTTGACATCTTTCACATGGAATAAAGTAGGGGCAAGGTATTTTTATTTGCTTGAATACGCTGTTGAATACGCTCCCTACAATCGCCATAAGGAGGTAGGTCGTCAAATACGCGCTGGATACGCCCTGTGGGCCGGGTTACGCGTCAAGGAATCCATGCCCATGGAGCTGCAGGTTCGTGAGATCTGATTAGCAACCTCATGAAGTAGCAGCTAAAGATTTTCGCACACAAGGAGGGCAAACGGCTAAGCAAGTTCCGCCTGAGTGGCAATTGGTTTTAATCGAACATGCCTGGCTCTGAACTGAAAGTATATAAGACTCCAAATTATCGCAACTTGTTTTCGACCTGCTCTGAATAACCTACGATCAGATAGATCATTATCTTTCGCAACCAACCTATCTTTTTTGCGATAATGCTCTTTTCATCACTCATTTGTGGCTTTCTCGCCGCTCTGCCTACGCCATCCCATGCGTCTGGTAGCCTTCTGACTGTTGACCTCTGGTATGAAGTTCACCAGGCTATCTCTCTCAACGTACGGCTTGTTAAATACCTCACTGAATCAATTCTTTACTGGCGTAACTCTACTGAAACTAATTTAGGAAACAACTGGCATCCTCAACTTCCCCAATATCCGCTACGCTCAGGCTCCTGTAGGGTCTCTCCGCCGGGTTCGCCCCCCACAGCCTCCGAGCGAACGAAACCCCGAAGTCCAAATCGGCGACACAGGACGTATTTGCACCCAGGCGATGCCTGAGTGGGTTGATATCACCCTGCAATTTGTGGCGGCATATGCCGCAGGCAACCAGTCAACTTTCAACTACAGTAATGCCGAAGAAATCGCCCGTACTGTCCGGGAGCAGAGGGAATGGCCCGCTCCTTGGGCTAACCCAAACAGCCACACGACCGAGGATTGCTCTTCCTCGATGTTGTTGTTCCGAAGAGGGTTTTTGAGAACGCCGCAAACAATACGTCCGAAAACGGATGCAAAGGGGTGCCTGTTTTGGTGTGGTGAGTATACTCAGGTGATTGGAACTAACTGAGCAACACAACTGATAAACGCTTGCAGGATCCACGGGGGCGCATACGTTGTCGGAAACAAGATCTACAACAACAGTGCTGACCCCAGCGGTCTATTCGAGCTAGTCAGGCAGATGGAAGTGCCGGCGTCGTCTACGTGAGCATCAACTACCGACTAGGAGCGCTTGGGTGGCTTGCCGGGCCATCGCTACAAGTGTCTGGTGGGGTATCAAATGCTGGTCTCCTGGACCAGCGGCTGGCATTGGAATGGGTTCAAGAACACATACACTCGTTCGGAGGAGATCCCGAGCAGGTAACAATTATGGGAGGTTCGTGACTTTATCAACAGCAACTGCTAAGAGAATCCATTTATATCCTAACCGTGAACTACAGGATCTGCTGGAGGCGGAAGCATTGTGCATTACATCACGGCTTACGGTGGCTTGAAACCTGCCCCTTTTGCTAGGGCACTTCCTATGTCGGCTGGTTGGATTCCTGTCACGTCCCAATATGAACAAGAGAACTCGGCAAACACTTTTCTACAATTTCTCAACGTCAGCAACATTCAACAAGCACAGAATGCATCAACGGAGGAAATTTTTTTAGCCAACGCAAAGGCAGTGGGCTCATCGAAGTGGATCACAACAACCTACGGTCCCGTCGTGGACGGAGGTCTCGTGCCGGCGCAACCTGGAATCTCCTTGCTCAAGGGTGAGTTTAACCACAACGTCTCAATTATGACAGGTCACGCGGCCAACGAGGAGGCGAATTTCTCTCCGCCTTTTGTCAAAACCAATGACCAAATGGCCGCGATGCTTCGCGATGCATGGTCCACTATACAAGAGCCTGTCATCAGCTACATTCTCGACGAACGCTACCCAGAGCCCGGCATTGATCGCACCATGGTCTACGTTGCTGAGCTTGGCTTCACGTGCAACGTAGACTACCTGGCTCGAGCATTCGGAAACAGCACTTACAACTACGAGTTCCAAGTACACCCAGGTGTCCATGGTTCTGACTTTCCATACGCATTTTACAATGGTCCAGATAAGACTGTGTCGTATAGTCACAATAGGGGCATCGACGTTAGATGTAGAGAACGGTTGTCTATTAGAAGTATGAAATGTACACGAGGCTCGCCCTGAAATGGAGGGTGTAAGCGAGTGTGGACCTCGGTGATTATGTAACCGAGGTCACGTGACGTACGGTGAGGCCACGGATGGTTGAAGCCATCACGACAGACTGAAAGAGGTGTTTACGTTGGCAGCCTTGGGCCTGTCAATGTTGATGTCGCTCGTACGTTGCAAGGATACATTGTTAACTTCGTTAAGTCCGGCAATCCCAACGGACTTGGTTTCCCGGACTTCCCAGTTTCGGGCGCTAACGCCAATATCTTGGCGTTTAATAGTAGCGGCATAAGTGTGATTAATGACACCATACCAAATAAGAGGTGTCGGTGGCTTCAGAAAGCACTCTACTCTTGAAGATAGATACACCTTAACATTTATTAAGACGGCTTAAGGCTGTGTGCGTTTTAGTATCAGCAAGTCCCTATGCTATATTTTAGAATGTTTATTTTATTCTGGTTGTATTTTCACCAGGTAGTTTACATAGACTTAGCTGTTGGCGTTCTCAAAGAACGAGCACGTCAACTAGAACGAGGACAAGGCTTTCGAAGATGGCAACAAGGGCAATGAATTCCTCCTGCGGAGCTTCAAGGCCATTGGTTGTTCGCGTCCAGAAAGAGGGGCGGGAGGCGACAACAGCAGGTCGAATTCTTTACTAGCACATCTAAATCAAAACGAATGCGATCGTTGAGCGGAATAGTAACGTTCGAATTAGTTAAATAGAGGGCATGAGCCGCGAGATTACCTCGACAGGAATAGACGCAACCGACTGGCCGCCACTTTGTCGTTCAGGTGCAATCAGAATACCCGGGGCCCTTAGGTCGCGAGACTAAGGTGACTGGGTGGGCCGGGTGTACAAGGCATCTTTGCGAGTTGTGGAAATTCGAAATCCGGATTCCGTTAACAACAGCATGTGTCCCGCTCTCTGGTTTGGCTAGATGTACGCATGTGTCAGGTTCTCGTATTCTCAGCAAATGAGAACTTGCGCCAAGAGAGGCTATTCTGCCCAAGGCGGTTTGTAAGCGCCGATACTCTGCTGATGAACCAATAGGAAACCAGCGGTTGATCAGCTAGAAACTCCATATCCCTCTAATTATTCTCAATCTACTGCATATAAGCGACAGACACCATTCCTTTATCATTTTGCTCTTCCTAGTAAACCCTTACTATGAGATGACCTGGATATGACGGCGAGTAAGGATGGCTTTTACTATAGTTTAGTAGCACTCAATGGGATAAGCATATGGCACATCCTATAGCTACAGCAGTCACACTTGGCTTGACAAAGAGACCTGAGAAATCGATTATAGGGCGCAGTGGCCGGTGAGTGGATAGCTCGCAGTAACGAACGTCTTGTCTTCAACTAAGGTACTCAGGCACCTAAGGTTAATCTACCCGAATTTCCAAAAGTAGTGTTTCTTTATGCTTGGACGAGCCGAGCATGTGAGGAAGGAGAAAAGTGCTACCCCGTAACAAATATGATCGGATTACAGGACAAAAGAGGTATGAAACGGCTCAATCCTAAGCACTGGGCCGCATCGTAAACTGGAAAACAGCTCGAGCACTCGCCATAAGGCGTGGAGAGGGCATGATAGCGGGCGACCGCGTCACTAGGTCGCGTCTGACGTTTACAGAACGAGCTTCTCGTCAAGCTTGAATGCTTCAAAGCTAGGGATATCGTCGGCCGATGCGCCAGCCTCGACAAGCGAGACAAGCTCCTCGGTGGCCTGGCCAGTCTCGGCAATGGCGGTGTAGTTGTACTGGGTGCCATCGGCGAGGTATAGGACGTTGGGCTGGGCGCACCCTTCAGTCTCCTCGCCATTGCGGGCATCCAGGGACGCACCGCGGATCATCTTTCTGTTGTTGAAACCGTAGCCCAGCCCGCCAAAGGGCCCGTTTCCCAGGCAGACATAGTCGCGGCCGGCGCTGTCCTGCTGCTCGCGGATGGAGCCGCAGTTGGGCCCGGCGTGGCCACGCGCCTGGATGTTCCAATTGCGCGGGATGGCCCGGAAAGAGCCGCTGGCGAAATAGGTACCCGCATTCACGCTGCAGCAAGTATTGGGGTTCCAGCCCTGGCAGATGTACCCGCCGCCGCTGGTGCTGCAACCGCCCGCAAACTCGAGGTGCAGGTCAATGGCCGAGGCGGCGGTGGCGAAGAGGCCCGAGATAAGGCTAACGGCGACGATGAACTTCATTTTGCTTGGTAAAGACGGAGAAATAATCTCGAGAGTGAAACTGTGCAGGCTGCTTGATGTAGGAGTGATTTCTTTGCTGAGAGGCCAAAGATGTTGAGGTGAATGGGGATGGGTTCAATAGCTTCCAGACAGAGACATGTGCGGGCCTTTTATACATTTCTGGAAGACTTTCATCACAGAGTTTTTGATATCTCGTCGCCGCGTCTCGTGTTCCCACCTAGTCTCGTCTGCTACTACTCTCCTCTGTTGACTTCTCGTGTCATTCATTATTTCCGAGGCTTCAGGGATTGAAAGCAAGAGTGAATGTGTGTACCAGCCTTCTTTGAATGTGCAGGATGAGGCATGATGTTGCAATATCATAAGCGCAATGTTGCAATACCGTAAACGATGTTACGATACCGTAAGCATGATGTTGCAATGGGTTCCTTTGCTTGGGTTACTAAGGTGGATTGCATTCATCGACTCTTGGCAAAAGAAGACAAATGTTAAGCTATCGTGGGCGCGGCCCTTGGCGCAGGATCGTATTACGGCGTACGTCTCGGACTCATGCACTCAAAAAACCCTCTCCATGGAGAGGAGTCGACGCTTTCCTCAAATCGTTTAGGCTAATTGGATTCAAACTCATTATAGTCCTCTCTCTTTCCCTATGTAGCACTAGGCTCTAATATACATTATGCAGAGTCCTCTTTAACTTGGGTTGCCGAGGCTGACTGCATTTATCGGCTCTCCGCGAAGGAAGAAATAGTAAAATCGTTGTCGGCGCGGTCCTTCGTGCATAGCTGTTAGGAGCGATGTAACACTATTAAGAGGCTCTGCGCCGTATGCTAATGCAGCTTGTCTAGGAGAATATCCACCTGGTCGCCCGAGTGCGCTGTGTAGGTATATAATAGCGCGATATACTTGGGAGTGGATACGAGGTGCTGCATAGTATTATACATAACATAAGTTAGACAGAGTTAGAACTAAAAGACAACGGTTCTAGGGTTCAACCCGGTTGACCACCAAGTCATTTGCTATTCGCAAATGCATCGGACTCGACAGTAAGCGAGGTGGGAGTAGCCGATTGGCTAAGACTTTTCCGGGGGAAGGGGGGGGGGGGGGGCTGTGTCCCACTCTTACTGTGTTAGTCTGGTTAATGAGATGGCAGAGATCATTCTAAACGCTTTGCCAAGTGAAAACCCGACTAGAGGCCGTTATAATACATATCCTCGAACTTTGTATACTCAGCCGTGGGGAAAGAAACATGTTTTTACTACAGTGGCTCGATGGTAGAAGTAACTAAGAACTGCGTGGGAATATCCTTGATGATGGTTTCATCCGATCAACAGTGAACGTCTGTTCTTCTTCCAGAACAACTGCTGATGGCATACTTCGCTGCTGAGCAGTGACATCCACAACCTCTGGCACCGAGGCCGGCGAGTGTGGGGTTTGGGATTTCCCAGGAAAGGAGACTGGCTCAAGAGTGTGTTCCACAATGATGTCATTCTCCTCATTGTCCGCTTGCGATTGGACATCGTCCACCTTGTACTCATTTCTCTCGCTGATGCTGCCACCGGCAGACCTTGCCGTGTACAGGATAATTCGAATCTCCCACGACCATGCTACTTCTCCTGCAAGTGATCTCAGTCTTTGACCAAGCACTTCTGGGTCGAGATCAGAAGACTCGGAAGAAAGACTGGGTGTTTGTGTAAAGCCATCTAAGTTGCCCGTCCGCTCTGTAGATGTTTCGTGCGAAGTGGGAAACTCAGTGCAAGAATCCATAGATTCGTCCAAAGAAACTACAACTCAGCTTGTCGAAAGGAAAGGTGGCTATCCTCATCATTTCGAGGTCCATGTGTTAAATCAGGAATCAACCAATTGGGACACAGGCCTGTATGGTCCCTCTCTGCTCCATTGTGCGGAAGTCCCATGCTCGAGCTGAGTTTACAGCCTGCATCAGTCGCCCCAGGGCTTCCGTTTCTTTTTCGCTTCTAACGTTACAACTTGACTTCGATGCGGGGCTTGTTTGTCAAACGACTCTTCAAAGCCTCCTCGTCGGGCGGAGTGTCGGAACACGGGGAACAGAATGCGTGATAGCTCTAAGTCAGCTCGTTCAATTTGATGTGTAGAACTGGGCTGGCGTCTCGCGTCCAGGAGCGGAAGGTCCTTCTTTTTTTTCGGACATAACGCCAACCATCAAATGCGGCTCACTCGTGATAACTGTTCTCCCTTCTCAAACCATTCAACACTGGTATAGCAGAACTCAAGTTGTCACTGAATGCTTGGGTGCCTTTCTGGTCTCCCTGTCTTAGATCTCGGACATGGTAGAGCAAACGACAATGGGCCGACGGCACATCAAGTAGTATCGAAGCAGATTAATTCAACGACAAGAATGTGCGTGTGCCATGAAGTTAGTTCAAGGCGGCATCAGGCCATTCGCGTTAGGCGGCAGTCCCGCAATTCTTAGAAGCACCCGAAATGACCATTGCTTGAATGTGATTGGCAGCCCAGTTCCCAACTTGGATGGTTTGACCGATGTGAGGTGTGGATATGATTGGCAGTCTGTACCCCATTATATTTGGGGTGTTCACGTTAGGCTGATAATTCTCCATGGATGCTTAATGCAATGTCCGGGCTTAAGAAGCGGCTTGCCTTGCTGTGCCTAAGCCTGATAATTCTCAAAGTGCTTGATTTATAATCAATCTGCTGTCTGGCCATAACGTCAAACGGGACGAGATTTAGGAACTAATCAAGTATCCTCTTACCTTGGGAAATTTTGCTCCACCAGGTTTCTCGAAGTTGCTTTTGATACGTAAAGCATTTAGACCCAAGCCTTTCGGGGGTTCTTCTTGCAGCCTCTCCATTGGATGCGACAGTTGCCCATCAGGTAATGGATTCACAAATGGGTTCCCAGGTCCAGCCAACTCACTGGGGAAGGGGGCAGCAAGCCATGGTTCGTGTGAGTTGACCCGAAGAGTAAACATCATGTCGTCTCCCTCAACACTACAATATAAGGCCTGTGACATGTGCCGCAAGAAAAAGATCCACTGTGAATCAACCGCGCAAGGATGCGCTCAGTGTACCAAATATCGCACAAGGTGTCACTTTACGCCAATTACAATGAAGAGGAAGCCTCGCAGACCAGCTGGGTTGGTCTCCAACTCTACTCCATGAAGCTTGCACCTGTTTAACTTTCCACAGCTTTAAATACATCGCACAGCTTGAAGAAAGGCTCTCAGCACTAGAGAACATGAACTCTCAAGGGAAAAAGTCTACTGTGCCAGGCGACAATCTGCGTGAAGAGCAAACCAATCCCGCAGTATCACTCAACACAGCGGCACTGATCAAATTTACGAGGGAAAGTGATTCATGGATTCCAATGAGCGGGCCACATATTCCGTCACCAAAACACACCGGTAGTCCAGGAGTTGATCTTGACGTTGCATTGTGCGCAAACAACTGCGGCCAACCCGATTTTTCCGCGGTCTGTGGCTTTGTAATTGACCCCATAGCTGGCAGCCCTTGGTCTCATCTTTCCCTAGAGTCACGATTAGTTTCTCTACCAAGGCATGGGCAGCTTCCCTTAAAGGCAGTCGCTCTGGAGCTAGTCACGGAGACTTTCAACAACTACAACAGGTTCCTTCCACTTTTAACGAAGAGGACTTCTTGAAAGAGTTCCACCTTAAGTACTCGACCTCTAACCCCGAAGATGCCAGTTGGTGGGCGGTTAGGGTTAGGGTTAGGGTTAGGGTTAGGGTTAGGGTTAGGGTTAGGGTTAGGGTTAGGGTTAGGGTTAGGGTTAGGGTTAGGGTTAGGGT